TCTGTCAAACGGGCTTTTGCGAGCAACTTTTTCGAACTTCTGCGACAACGGTTGCGCACCTGCCAGGGCCATCATCCCTGTCAAATAATACCATGCGGGACACATTCGTTTTTTCTTCGCGCGCGCACGCCGAAATCTCCAAAAACCATTGGGCTTCTTAAGAATTTTAGCACCGCGCATCATAAAATCACACGAATCGCACCGTAGGTCCTCGAAAAACACCTGCACGACTTTTCAAAAAGGCTTAACAACTTCTGTGGGTGTACGAACGTAGGCTTAACAACTTCTGTGGGTGTGTACTCCACGCCAGTGTAGTAGCCACGGTCGTCCGCAGGCCACGAAGTGAAGTGTCCGAACGTCATAGGGCGGGAAGCTGGGTGTGGGTGGTGGCGAAGAGTCGTGTGGATATTTGGTAGAGCTTGCACTGCCCCCCCACAAAGTGGGGGTATTGGCTGGCGTCGCATGAAAACCCTGGCACTGGTGAGAACACTGAGCGTTCGGGTAAAGTGATTGTTGTTGTTGTTGTTGAACATTATTTATTCTAAAGAATAATTATTGTTGGGCCCCCTGGTGCGCGCCCCCCCTGCGCCGCCTAGGCCGCAGCTACATTTTCATCATTTTCGTGAGGAAGCCTCAGAAAAGAGGGTGTGTACAGGATCCGGTTGTTTTGTTGTAATCCGCTTTCCCTTGCAAAAAACAATAGAAAATGACATTTCTTGTTCTAATATAATCAAATTTCAAGAATCCCTTGCAAAAAATAAGGTAAAGTGGACATTCGCGCGCGCAAGACGAAATCCTTCCAAAAGCTTAGTGTTCGCAGCGATTTTAACATAAAAACATCAAAAAACCAATGGTTTTTCAACAAAAAAATTGTCAAAATCTCATCCCGCGCGCTCTTGCGGATTCGTAGGAAACCCAACACTTTTTAAACATTTCTGTCAAACGGGCTTTTGCGAGCAACTTTTTCGAACTTCTGCAACAACGGTTGCGCACCTGCCAGGGCCATCATCCCTGTCAAATAATACCATGCGGGACACATTCGTTTTTTCTTCGCGCGCGCACGCCGTCGTCGTCGGCCGCGGGGCCCTGAATAGTAGCCACGGTCGTCCGCATGCCACGAAGTGAAGTGTCCGAACGTCATAGGGCGGGAAGCTGGGTGTGGGTGGTGGCGAAGAGTCGTTTGGAAATTTGGTAGAGCTTGAACCGGCCCCCCCACAAAGTGGGGGTATTGCCCGCCTCCTATGAAAACCCTGGCACTGGTGAGAACGGAGTGTCCCCACGTGCTAGTAATTGTTGTTGTTGTTGTTGTTGTTGTTGTTGTTGTTGTTGTTGTTGTTGTTGTTGTTGTTGTTGTTGTTTTGTTGCTACAGGGGTACTGTTCGTACTTTTCGTAATTTTAGCAGTGCCAGCAGAAGTAGTCGCTATACTGAAAGCCCAAGTAACTTCGAGTTCAGACGTGGCAGAGGTAACTCGGCCGAGAGAGGGAATTCGGAGCAGACGTGTAATACTTCCGAGTTTCTTCTATATTGGAAATGATGATGACACACAAATGCACATTCCTAGGAGGAAATGATGGAGATGACGACGGCGATGTCGATTCTGGTGACAATCGTGGTGGTGATGCTCATGGGGATGATGGTGGAAGTCATGGTGATGACGGCGGCGACGACGACTCATGAGGATAAAGAAGGGGGGAAGAGGAGCATGTTCAGGCGGGGAAGGCGCAGGCTACTGAGAAGGACGACGAGCAGGGGATGGCAACGAGGATGGGTACGGTGATGAGGAGGAGGGGGAGGGCCAGGCGCAGGCGGGCGAGCCCGGGGATGATGAGCGTACAACCGTGCACGGCATGCGCCTCGAACTGTCATGCGTGGGTCGCGGGTCGCGCAGTGCCGATGCGATTCGCCAGCGGCCGTGGGAGCCCGCAGCGGGCCCGCCTGGGCGCACCGAAGCTCGGCGCGCCGCCGCCGCCCAGGCGCCGCCCGGGCCGGGAGCCGGCCCCGATGGCGGCGGCGGACGGGGCCGAGGACGGCGCGGAGGAGGCGCTGCCACGTCGCCCCGCCGCCGCTCAGCAGGGGCTCTCTGAGGGCTGCACCGTGGGGGGCCCAGACATGTACACCACCACCACCTCCCTCACCCCCTTCCTCTCCCAGGGACGAGGAAAGGAAGAGGAGGGTAGAGGAGAGAGGAGGAATCGACGTGGTGGTGGTGTATGTTCTTTGGGTCCCCAAACTGTGGTGGTCTCTGAGGGTCCTTCCAGCCCCAGCCCCTCCTCCCGCGGCCACCTCGGGCTGCCACGTCCAGGCGATGGAGCAGCAGCTCAGGTATGGGGGGGCGTGAAGCTGCTCCTGGGGGGCGACGGCGGGTCCTCCCAGGAGCAGCAGGAGGCCAAGGTCCGCCGGTTTTGACGAGGGGCTGCTCGGGAAGCTCTTCACGCCGTGGTGCTCAGCGTGGCGTCTGGGAGCGTTGATTCTTCCTGGGGAGTCCCCTGGGCTCGGCCTCCCCTGCGGTCAAGGGGAGGCAGGGATCCAGATGGCGCCGCGCTGGCACGGCCTTGTGTGCCGTCTGGCGCCAGGGAGGGTTCCGCCCTCTCTTCGCGTGATGCGAGGCAGCCTCCTTTTCCTTCGCGGGATGCGAAGGAGCCTGCTCCTGAGGACGACCAGGGCATGCACAATTATGCGTCGTGCTGCTCTTTTGATGTCTGCGGCCCTCGCGGGTACCCCGACGCGCTCAGAGGGTGAACCCCGTCAGGCTTCACACTCTTGAGACTGCTGCTGGGCGCGGGGGCGCTTGCACCGCTATCCAACTCATCCGATCCACACTGCACCTTTTTCCTCCTCCCCTCCTCCTCCTCCTCCTACTCCTCCTCCTTCTCCTCCTCCTCCTGCGACGCGCTACGCAGAGGTTCCTGACCGTGAGCTCCTTCCTCCTCCTCCTCCCCCTCTCCGCTGCCGCCTCCTGCCCAGCATCTCCAGGATGCTGGACCCGGCAGGAGCTGGGCGCCGTCCCCGTGCGAGCCCGTCCGCCCTGCGCCTGCGGCGCCTGCGCAGCGCCCCCTCCTTGTAGAGGGGGCCGCCTGCGAACCCTACCCCTACCCCCCACGACTTCTGAGGGGGAGGGTGGGGTTCACTTCGTTCGGGAGCTCCCGAGCGACGTGAACCCCACCCTCCCCCTCAGAAGTCGTGGGGGGCAGGGGTAGGGTTCGCATGTGGCCCCCTACCTTGCTCCAGGTGTGCCACGGCACGCGACTCTGCGCGAGCCCCGGCTGACGCCGAGTCGATACTTTATGCTTTTTTGTTTGCGGGAGCCTTGCATTTCATCGCCTGTGCTGCTGTCTGGCGTGTGGCGGCCCCTCGCAGCGAACAGGGGTGATCAGTGGACCGTTGGTGCGGGGCGTGTGCCGCAGCTTGCCTCGAATCGGTTGCCGCGGTTTGCCGGAATTTGCCGCTGATCCGCCAGCCTTTTGATTCAGATAGGCTCTCATAAAAGCGAGCGTACAATGCTGCGGCCCCTTCGTGCTCGTCGTCTTCGCCGGGGCCGCTCTCGAGGCTGCCTCGGCGGCTTCTGCACCCCCCCCCTCCCGCGCCGCCTTCTGGATGCTTCGCGGCGCGGCACCGCCCGCGCCGCCCTCACCGTGGACGGTGCCACCTCGACGGCACCGCACGCGGTCTCTCCGTGGGCGCCCTGCGCGGCCACGGGGGCAGACGGAGGACGGGGGGCCCCCAGACGGTGTGGTGACTGCACCCCTTGGGGCGTCCGTCGGGACTCGCCGTCACCGCACGGCTTGGGGTCCGGGGTCGTTCTCCGAGGACGTCTCGGGGGACTGGGGCCTCCGAGGTCCCAACACCGTGCAGCGACGGACCGCGTCGTGAGGCCGTCGGGGGCCCCAGGGTCTCCACGCGGTCCGTCACCGCACGGTTTGGTGGCCCCGAAGGAGGGCCCGCAGACGTTTGCAGGGCCCCTTCGCCGTCGCGAGAGTGCTGCTACAGAGGGCTGGGAGGGAGCAGAGAGCAGAGACCTGCCGCGGCCCTCGGGTGCCCCAGGAAGCCAGGGCGGGGCCCAGATGCTTTCGAAGGTTTTGGCGGGTGCTGGTGAGCATCCCTTGCGCAAGGTGTGCCATGACCTTCGTTCCGCTCGTGAGCAGCACATCCGCGGCCGCATTTGGCACAACCGTATGCGGACGCTGTGGGCGTGTCGGCTGACCACTCGTACCGCCCATGCGTCGCGACCAGCAGGCCCGCCCCCCCGCACGAGGTTGGCGTGGGTGGGATGCCCACTTGCATCGCCCACGCGTGTTTGCCGCAAGAGGACGGTGTGGGATTTCCTATCTGCACCGCCACGCGTGGCGGGCCCGTCTTCCGCATGAGGATGACGCGGCACTGCCCACCTGCACCATCCACGCAGGGCGACCAGCCCCCCCCCCCCCCTTGGGAAACGCTTCGCGCTTTGAAGGGCCCCGTTCCTGCATGCCTCGCTGCAGCTTGGGCGCTGCTTTATTGAAGAAAGTGGCCCTCAGAGGGCCCCCCTCGTTACCACGCCGCGACGCGGCTCGAACAAATGGTGAGGACCGCGCCCAAACAGTGCTCGGAGATTGATCTTGTGAAGATTCTGAGCAAGAGGGTTGATCAAGTCCGTTTTCCTGTGCAAGTGGGGGTAGGAAGGAATTTCGAACATTCGAAAAGGGGGCGAAGTCCAACCCGTGATTCGCTGAAGCAAGTTCCGCGCAACTTATCGCGCAACTTATGGCGAGGGGACACATCGACCAAATCGTGATACTCGGTAGCAGGCTTCTGCGCAACCTATGGCGCAGCATGCGGTGCAGAGGAGCGCATCAGACCAAATCGTGGTCCAGGACAGAAGGCAGCGGCGTAGTCGATCGCGCAGCAGCCTGCAGCAGTCCTCGGCCGGCGCAGCCAGTGGGAGACCTCGGTGCCGATCTTGGCTCAGCCTCGGGCCCAAATTATGGCGCTGCTTGTGTCAGCCCTCGGCGCAGCCCATGGCACATCTAGTGGCTGACCTCGACGCAGCCTCTGGCGGCCTTCGGCGCAGCCAAGCGCAGTCCCCCGCGTGCTGTGCCGTGAGCGTGTCGTGGGCCCAGCTCGTGATTCGGCGGAGCAGTGCCGTGCTGTGCCGTGCTGTGTCGTGCCATGGCGTGACGCGTGCAGTGCCGCGTCGTGCCTTGGCACGTTGTGCCCTGTTGTGCTGTGTCCTTGCACATGCTGTTCATGGTCCCTTGGTTGGATAAGTTGTTTTCGATGATCTACACTCGCGCGTGCGCCGTACCACACGCTGCTTACCAAAAAGAGGACAAGTGGGCGTCGGCGGTGGTGTTCGAGGTGTCAGGAGCGCTCGAGGATCTCTCGAAGGCCGATGGCTTTTGATGGCCTCTCGGCAGTTCCGCGGGAGGCCCCCGCCACTTTTTCCGACGGGGGGTCCGCTCTCCTCCCGCGCGCAGCGCAGAGACATGAGACAAGGGCGGGTTGGTGGTGGCGACGAGTCTTCGGGGGCGCAGCGCAGGCGCACGGAACCGCGCGGGGGTTGGTGACGACGAGCCTCGGGCATGTTGGGGTGAGCACGGGTGCATGGTGCTGGGCGGGGCCGGTGGCGGCGGCATGCTTGGGGTGGAGGAGCGCAGTCACTCGGCTACGCGTAAGGGTGACCCTTCGCCGGAGTGACCTTTGAAGCTGGCCCACAGGGGTGGCCACAGCATTGGGCTGTGCGCTTGAATCTGGCCCCCCCCGCGGCCCCCGAAAGCCGCGCACAAAAGGTCACTCCTGCCCAGGGTCACTCTTGCGTGGAGGCGAAGGGACATGCGCTGGGCGAGGCGGGGTTTGTGGCAGCGACGTGCGTTCGGTAGCGTAGCGCAGCGGCGCGGGTCAAGGCGGGGCCAGTGTCCAGCGACGTTTTGGGGACTGGAACATGATGGCACAGGGGCTCGGCGGTGCCAGCGGCGGCGATGAGTTTTTGGGAAACGTGTCCCTGGGCCCAGTTGAGAAAAACGTGATACGAGCTCCAAGCGTAAGCAATGTTTCGCACCGGGCAACTGCCAGGACTGTGCCTGGGAGAGGTCTGATGGCACGCTGGCTTGCAGTTCAGTGGCAGGAATATGGCTGGCATGCTGTTTTGGTACGTTCCCCCCTCTGCGGAGGTGCCCGCGCAGTTCGAGTGCTCCATCTGCATGAAGCTTCTCCTTGACCCGGTCCGCCCTCTCTTCGCCCTGAGTGCGTTGTCCAGGGGCTACCACTCTGCGTGCCGCTGCCCACCCAGTTCAGCTTCATAGCCCTTGACGAACCCCTTATCCCAACCGATTGCCCTATCCAGCTCAACCAGCCCCCAACTTAGTTTTTGTTGACAATTTTCGGCCTCTCGGGACCATCGCCGTGCCAGGGGATGCTCAGACAAGAACTCTGGATGAAGATTCGGTCCCCCGGAAGAGGTCCAGACCTGTGTGGAGCTGCGATGTGAAACAATGACGACGTCGGATGTCTAGGTTTAGTTGTCCGTGGCTGACTTTAGTTGTTCCTGGCTGCCAGGGTTGCTGGTTGTCCATGTGCATTTGTTCCGCTGTCAGCCAAGCACCATTGCGACATGATCCCCCGCAATTGCGTATAAGGTATGAGGGCTGGATCCCAATCAGGTTGTCGATGCAAGTTTTTCGAAATGTGGCTCTCGCCTTAGCTCCGCGCACATTCGCTTTCGAACTTTGCAAGAGCCTCACGGTTGGAGGACAGGTCGTTTCAAAATCTGGTTCTCGCTTCAGCGCCGCGCTCATTCGGTTTAAACATGTGTAAGAGTTTCACGGGCCCTCAGGGTTAGCGTACCAGTAATGGTGCGTTGGAGCGAAGCCACATGGGCGCAACAATTACGTTGATTCGCGGTGTTGAGCTTCCAGGAATGGTGTTCTGGCACGGTTCAGGGTCGTCAAGACGCAACAGGAAGGTTGATTCGTGGCGTTGCAGTCCCAAGAACGGTGCCCTGGCACGGCTGAGGATTTGCAAACGATTGTCGCCCAACGGGGCACTTCCCTCAGTGGAAATGAATCCGTCTAGGGGCCCATGAAGAGGGAGCCTGGAGGGAGGGTTTACCTCAACATCGTTAGTGACTCTTGGGTTTGCACTGGTCCTCCTCGTCCTCGTCCTCGTCCTCCTCCTCCTCCTCCCCCTCCTCCCCCTCCTCCTCCCCCTCCTCCCCCTCCTCCTCCTCCTCCTCCGCCTCCTCTTCCACAAAACAAGATTCGTCCTCCTCCGCCGTCCTCCTCCTCCTCCTCCTCCTCCGCCTCGTCCTCCTCCCTCCTCCCCTCCTCCTCCTCCTCCTCCTCCCTCCTCCCCCTCCTCCTCCTCCTCCTCCTCCTCCGCCTCCTCCTCTTCCACAAAACAAGACTCGAGGCGGCAGCTGCCCTCGAATCGGCCAGAAGGGGGTCGTGCGCTCCCCCCCCCTCCCACGCGCCTGCCAGGTGACGGTGTCGTGTGGCCACACGTTCTGCCGCGTGTGCCTGGAGCAGTCGCGCGCCGCGCCTCCGCGGCCTCGGGTCGGTGCGAGCAGAGGGAGAAACACAGGGGGAGTAACGCTGATAGGAGGAGGGGGAGGGGGGGGCGAAGATCCGGAAGACGAGAAGGAGGAGGAGGAGGAGGAGGAGGAGGAGGAGGAGGAGGAGGAGGAGGAGGAGGACACAAAAGAGGAGGTGATGAGATGAGAGCGGTCGCGAAGCGAGTCTATATAAATTAAGCCCTGGCCGCACGCTCAGCTTTACTGAGCACTTTAGGCACAAGATCTCTCTCTAAACGACGGAGATACTCCCTGCCAGTGGAGGTGATTAGCTGACATGGGCCAGCCAACTTCTTGCTCAACCGAGCTTGGCCAATGGTCCCACAGCTGCCACAAAACCACAGAGACTGGGAATGATGAAACCTCATCTTGTGGGAACCGTGGACCGTACCCCCAGCGAGATATAAAGTCCGACCAGCAGGCAAATTAGAGATCATTTCTGTCGTTACTTCTAAAGGAAAACAGGGGGTGGCCAACCAGGACCTTAAAGTGGCCTCGGTGGCGGAACCCTTACAGATCTGGCATTTTTTCCCAGTGCTATCGACCTGATGCGACGAACACAGAAGAGCCAGACCCCGAGGTCGGGGTGGCGGAATGGCAGGAGCCTTTGGGCGCGTCCTCTTTGCCGTGCCTATAGCTGTCTGGAGGGCAATTCGCAACAAACGCATGCGAACAAGCCGAGCATCGTTCTCAACCCGCAGCACCTGTGCCCTCTGGCACTCGGGAAGGCGGGCCTCGGCGGCAGCGATACCAGCCAAGGTGTCCACATACACATTGCCAGCAATCATCCAAGACGGGATCCCGAGCTCGACGATACACTGGGCCTCCATATGCGAAGGGACTTTTAAGACAACTATCTCACTGCAAGGCCTATGAACAAGATGCTTCTTAATGGCCCTCCAGATGTCAGCATTGGCGCCAGCAGGTTTTTCAAATGCTCGCGCCCACCACCCCCGACAAACCTCCTCGTTGTCTGTCACATATATTGTTGGTCCCGAGGACCAACGGATAGAAACTTCCAGCATATACAGCTCCCCTCGCGCAACCGTCTGTCGGTCACCTGGGAGGGGACCAAGCAAGTAGGGAAGCTCATCATTCACATCTAATGAGAATGTTCCAGCAGCCAACCCAACTCGACGAAGTCGTGGATCGTGTGTGTCTGCGCCTCCAGATGCATCACCAAACAAAACTAATGGATTGTCCATTGTCCCAGAGCCGAAAGAGAAAGTGTCAGCTTGGTCTTGTCCCAGGCCTTTCCACTTCTCCACATGCGTCGGCTCATCAACTCGCGTCCATTCAGCAGGTATCAACCCACGGAACCAACAACATTCTGCTAAATTGGCCTGAGTTACTGCACGGTGGCTCAGGTCATCGGTCATGTCGAAAATGGGGGAGCCTTTATTGCATGAGCACTGCCAATATCGATGTAAAGGGGTCTCCTCAACCTGATCTGGACATCTCTCACACATGCCCGAACACTCATATCCTCCTTCCTTGCGCCGTGACTCCGTCCAGGCGCCGCCGACGGCGATGACCAGGAGCATCTCAGCCAACCGTCGTCCTTGAGGGAGGGCCTCAAGTTGGGTCAGCTGCTTCCTCACACTGTAGTTGTCCAAGCCTCCTTCAATTCCACCACCGCAGAACGTGCGAGAGGCCTCGGACCAGAGTTGGCGTCTGAAAGTGTCTGAAAAATCATTGAGCAGGTCGGCGGCCTCCACAACTGACTCGAGCTTGCTGGCGTCGAACTTCCACCCTGGGATGACGCCGTCTGGGTTTGCTCGATCTGCTGGAAGGTACCACTCTGATGGACCATGCGGGTCCCACCCTGCTTGCATAAGATAATGAATGAGACCAGAAACAGGGCCTCGTACATGCCGTGCTCGATGCTGTGGTTCGGTACCTTTGAAATGATCAACGATGCCTTGCCAAACTCGCGCAACTGGGGCATGAATACGTGGCTCCTCAATCCACGTGCGAAGCCACTGTTCCAGAAACTGCCTGGGGAGCTGGTACCCAGGGTCCCTCATGGGGGTTCTGAGGTCGAGCAGCGTCGTAAGGTCACGACCGTGCTTGTGCCATCCAGCAACAGCCCCAAGACGCCGACGAAGTTCCAAAACCGAGGACTTGGGGAGCCCATGGACCTGGTGCCCATACTGAGCGGCCATCTGGGGCCCTCCCAGCTCGATTTTCTTGAGAATACGGAATCTCCTGGATGCCTTCGCGTAGCGCTTGATATTGAGATGCTGAACCTTGGAATTCTCCATCCTCGTACTCCGTGTCTGCCGAGCCATACGCTTGCCGTTGCCCAGATCAACACCGAGGTATGTCGTTTGTCGTCCCCATTGTACATCAACGCCTCGCCGTCGTAGGCGCTTGACTATGGCCTTAGCGTCCTCCACATTCGTGCACGTGATGACACTCTTGGGGGCCAAACGTAGCGCTTGCAGTTCAAGCTGAACCTGAGTGGCCACCACCCCCTCCTCTAGCACCTCCGCAACGTGCCGCCGAGATCCGACAGCGACCTGCGATAAGTCATCCACCCAGAGGCGCTCGGAGAGGTGAGGGTGGCATGTGGTCAGCTTGGTCATGACGGCATTGGTCATGCATTTGGCGAAGCGTGTCCCACTGCGCAATCCTTGAATGATGGATCGCGTAGCTTGGAACGGCGCCGAAACCGTGTTAGCTTGTGCCAGCAATCGTGGGCCAGCACAAACTTACAACTCCAAATGCAACGTGGTGGCTGGAAAATTGCACTCTAATGCTCGATCAACTAAGATACTCCATTCTATTTCGTCATAGAAACTCTTGGTATCTAATAATGCATGACCCTGGGAAGAGCGAAGCCGAAACGATACTTCTTCGTCCATTGCCCTCATATCTGCTTCTTTGAGGGCGGAATTCCCAGCGCATGCTGCATCCCAGTCTGTCTGACTCTGTGTATTCCATTCCTTGGTGTACGGCTCTCTGGCTGCTGACCATACACGACAAAGAACACATACCAAACCGATAACTCGATCTCCTGTTGAGTTTTTTGGAAGAAACCTGCCTAGTACAGCTAAAAGTTGCCATGGCCAAGTGTCACACTGCTCGATGGTATTGAACACTGCCGAGAGCTCAACCATGGCCTCATGCGGTAACCGATCCAGATCAGCAGGGCAAACGCGATCGAGACCCTGACCAACTTGACCTTTCATGCTGCGAATGGCCCGTCGCACATCCTCAGCCGTCAGTGGTAAACACGCCTCATCCTTGGCCTGCTTCCTGATGCGCGAAAAAAGCGCACGTACTTGCTCAACATCGATGTGCTTCTTCGTCCTCCAAAGATCATGCCACTGCGAAGTCTTTTTGTCGACAACGTCCTTCGGATGAAAATAATACCAGCCTTGACGTCGTCCAACTCAGAACTTGACTTGATAGCAGGTTTGGTGGAGCGAAAAAGCTGACCTGTATTCTCATTGTCCATAACCCATTGCTTGAAATCGCGCAACGATGCGTTGATTGCTTTCGTCCTGGGTCGTCGACATATGGCCTCCAGCTCGGCGCAGACTGCCTCTAACTGCTGATAAGAATGAGTACCCAGCCGCTCGAGAAAGGATTGCCACTCCTTCCATGATGTAGCCGAAGGTGCCTTGCCTACGAACTTGGGCGAGTGATCTGGGTAGTGACCAGCCAATTTGACTGCTGCCGCCGCCAGCGCTGCCACCTGCTTGCTACCATTCTTCTTGGCAGCATGATGCATGACCTGACGAGCTATGGTGAGAGCCCTGGCCTACCAGTTAGCAGCTGTGTCGAAAAAGGGCATGTCCCGATAATGCGCACTATCTTGAACTCGGTGCACCTCAAGCCTCGGCCCTGAAGCTCTCGTGGGCTTAGAGCAGTCCTGCTCGAGCCCATGGTGCCATAAAATACTCTTCTCTATTGCGTCGATCCACCTAGCAAACACTCCACTGACTTGTAAAATATTCTCTCCACCAGCTTGATAGGCCAAGGACTCGCGAATGGGAGCCCAGACCTGCTGCTCAGTTTGGATCATGAAGCCAGAACTGGCTCGAGCCAAAAGCCACGTGGCAGCAGGGATGGAGAAAGACACGCCAGCAACAGCAGCAGCAGTGGAGGTGGAAGGGCCAGGAGGGACCCTATCTGAAGTCTGCTCGGGGGTCGGGGTCTCGCTTGGGGAGGTCCTTAAATCGTTCCCTGAATTAGACGCAGAGGGCCCGTCGGCAACAGTGGAATTCACGGCAGGAGCACTCCTTTGAGAGACGGGCAGACCTTTTTCCCCTTCGACGCGGCAACTTCCGTGGACACAAACGAGGAGGAGAACGAGGAGGAGGAGGAGGAGGAGGAGGAGGACGAGGAGGTGGAGGAATATATAGAGAAGGAACAAGGGGAGGAGGCGGAGAGGGGGGAGGGCGACGAGTAGGCAGACGGTAAGAGACAATACGCCCCAATACACGAAGACACCAGCGGCAATGACCGGTTAGAGCGGGGAACCTCTTCTTGAGACACGAGAGAAGAGGACCGACGACGACGAGGATGTTGATGCTGATGCTAATGCTGGTAATGCTGGTGGTGGTGGTGATGCTGATGATAATGCTGAGTATGCTGATGCTGCTGCTGCTGATGTTGATGATGCTTATGAGTATGACCATGATGCAGATACTGATGATGATGATGATGATGATGCTGCTGCTGCTGATGATGATGATGACGATGCCGCTGATGATGATGCCGACGATGCTGATGCTGCTGATGATGCTGCAGATGGTGATGCTGATGACGACGATGCGGATGATGCTGATGATCATGATGACGCTTTGATGCTGCTGATGATGCTGATGCTCATGCTGATGCTGATGATGTCGGTGATGATGCAGATGATGATGCTGCTGCTGATGATGATGCTGATGATGACGATGATGACGAGGTTGCTGCTGACGATGCTGATGATGATGATG